TGCGCGATGCTTTTCAAATGACCAAGTCAAATTGATTTACCTGCGCACACACACACACACACACACACAAAATATATGTATGAATGAGTGTTCTGACTCGTGTGTCAGAAAAGACAAGATCTCAGACTGGCTGGCCTGCATGTCAATCAAGTAGCAAATGCCATAGGGAGGATGGATGATAGGCTACAGTATATATGAATGATTATCACTTTATGCTTTTCCCGTTAGGGGCTGTCACAGCGAATCGTCACACTGACCATTCGCATGTTAACATTTGGCACGTGTTTTTACATTCAATTTATTTTTGAATGGCACGCGATCTACCAACACTACCTTTGCGATCGACATATTGGGCGCCCCTGGTCAAGAGCATCTTGACCAGCTGGTATGGCAGCACTACTGCTATGGACCACAAGCACCTGCAGAGAGTGGTAAAGACTGTGGAGAAGATCACTGTCATATAGAGGTTTATGCGAACATGCACTGTAAACCTTTGCATACGGCAGTTTCACGTCATGGTGTTACGTTCCGGCACAAAAAACTGATTTACGACAGGTAGAGAAGCTGCACAACAGCATGTTGTTGTTACCGTTCTGATAATAAAGCCGAGTTACTGCACAATCACCACTCGATCATTTTACAATCACCAGGACTCCACTGCCCTCTCTGCAGAGCATTTACCACCGCAGGGTGCGTAGGAAAGCTGCCTCCATCCTCAAAAAAGTCGAAAGTTCTTTCAAGTATTGACTGAACTCCACAATCACAAAATTCATCAGAAAGGGCCAGTTAGCCAAATCATCACACATCATCAAGAAGAGTATTTTTTCATAACAATGTTTTGTATGAGTCGCAGCAATCCAATTCTCCTTGTGCTCGGTGTCTTTATGACTTGTCTGATAAGCCCGTTTCAGAAATCAAGCTGACAACAGCAGAAGTACCAGCAGAGGGAAGAAGCGAGCTATGTTCATAGACGGACCGCTGTTAAGGCCGAGTCACTATACAGACAACTACCAATAGTATAGTCAAATAGAAAGAATATTACAACTATATGAAGAACTCGTTTGTCATTTTATTTATTTAATAAAAGGTTTTTAAATGTGCGTGTTGTAGGTCAGGATGGCCGAGCGGTCTAAGGCGCTGCGTTCAGGTCGCAGTCTCCTCTGGAGGCGTGGGTTCGAATCCCACTTCTGACAGAATCTTTTCGTCCACTAAAGTGAAGCATACTTCACACCAGAAACATCCCCACCACTTTCTTCAGATAGGACATACTTCGACACACATGATAATCACAAAACAACAACAAAAATGCAACTTTGACCCTCAGCAGAACAGAACAAGGAAATAAATACAATCAACCTGAATCAACTATAAAATGTGAAAACATGATGGCATGTTAACAGTATTTATTGTAATTACCTGGGGTGAAGCTAGTTTGAATTGCTTTATATACTAAACCTTTAATACCATATTTTTAAATCTGAAAAGTACTCGTATATATAATTCTATAATAAATGTAGTGGTGTAAAATGTACAATATTTGTCTCTGAAAGGCAGTTAAATAGTTAAATATATATAGTTATTTCCAATACTTATGTACTGTGTGTGTATCTATTGTGTGTTTAATTAATGTAATGTGAAATGATGGTTGTTTTATTATTTTTACTTGCGATTTTCTATTATTTTGAACTTTTGTAGTTTGAAATGAAGTGAAACAATAACAACAGCAACAACATTAATGCTTGAAAGTTTCCATCCACAGAGAGCAGTGTTCCGCACAGTATAATTAAGTGTAGCTTCACTGCTCCAGTAACAACCAGTTTTACTATGAAACACCAGCTCACAAATTTTGTCTCAGTGTTGTTTTGGATCCGTTGCTTGTAAGATTCTGAGTTAAAGCACACTTTGTCTTATCAAGATACATGTGAAGGACATGTGCATACATATGAAAACAAAAAAAGCAGATATTCACTAAGAGAAACATTCACCCCAAGAGGGTGTCACTAGATCATTTTTGTGTGTGTGTGTGTGTCAGAGAGAGAGAGAGAGGTGTGGAGAAACTCATACACCACCTCCACCATTAGACACCTGTCCTGGGTGGAGACAGTGACTGCTGAATATCTGAACTGGGATGTTTCCCTGGAGGGCTCTTCTATAACTCTTTGAACTTTTTTTAACATTAAAAACATTGCATGTTTGTTTTTGGACATGTGGATTTTAATTTGGAGATCAGGTTGTTGCTACTGCCACCATTACATGTAGTTGATGGTTACTGATCCCCAACATTCACGGTATCCAGGATATCTTTTCGGAGGAGTGAAAACTTCTGTAGGAGTTTTTCCATCAAAGACTTTAATTCTGAGACTGAATCAAGGCTTTAAGGAGTCTGTTGTCTTTGCAGCTGTTTCTGAGGCACCCATCTTCTGACAGGCTGTGTGATCATGGCAGACTTCCCATCCAAAGTTGACACGATGACCAGCTCCCCCCAGGCCCAGAGCTCGCATCACAGGGGCAACAGCCTCCAAGGGCTGGCTGCTGATATCACCATGATGATGAATAGGCCCTTTGTTCGAAGCATCCCAGCCATCCTTATGATAGCTGAAATAGTATGTACCAGAGTGCTTCTGTTTTTATTTTATTCATCTCTGTTTTAATTGCTTTCAGCTCTGCTCTGTTCAGTACGGTAGACTTCTGCTCTGTTGCTTTCTATTCTGTCTCCGTCAAGCACATTATGACTCAAACCATAGCCAAACCAGATTATTAAGGAATAAGGCTGGTGAAATTCAGTATTTTGTAAGTTTGATAAATAGCTCATGTTATATTTATTATTAAGGATGAGTTAAAGACAAGCTACACTAAAAGTGTTGCACTGCAGTCAACATTACTGTATCACTAGATAAAAGTATTTGTATATCTGCAAGCTTAATCTACTGCCACAGGAATTTGAATGCATGTCACAAAGCTTCAACTTATGAACAACACGTAGCTGTCAACAAAAGCATGGCTGTCTCTGGTCAAAGCCAAAACCTAAAACCTACAAAGTGCAGTCTTATCTCAGCACCTGTGGTGCTAATGAAATACCAGAAATAATCCTGTGGCTTGGCGAACTGAAGCTGATGGATTTTATCAAGCAGCATAGTTTCTGTCTTGCTTGGCAGCATGCACACACTCATGGCTGCTCATTTCAGGGGCTGGCATAGAGACCTGAAAATGACATTGATACGCATGTATGTTTATTATGAGATAAAACCTGATTGTGAGAGACGGCAGAGCAGGTTTGCTACATTAACCAGTAATGAACTTTAGCTTGGACTCATTTGATGTATTTGCACTACACTTTGCCCACACAGAGGACATGTGATTGGCTGGATGACTGACAAGTGCAGGAGATCTTTGTCCCCTGGAGAACCCAGCCCCTTCCTGACCCCCCACCCCCCATTATCACACTCAGTATAGCCTTCAAGGGCAGAGGGACCACTATGAATGTTCATTCTGTATATGACTAGACTCTTAAATGTTTGTCACCTCTCAGTGCTTTATGAGTTGCTAACTTTACTGGGTTTTGATTGTGCTGTAGCAGTAGGATCAGGTAGGTAGAAGTCAGCAAAAGTGTAGTACTTTTATTGTTTTATTAAAACTGGTAAAGTTTGTGATGTGTGGTAGGTAACTCAGTAAGTACATGGCTAATTAAATGACTCTATAATATTAAACTTCATAGGGATATTTTACAAATGACAAGTACAGATGGTGTCTCTTCAAGCCAAACATTCAAGTATATCAACAGCAACCTTCTCCTATAATATAGTGTTTTTCAACCATGTGTGTGTGGATAAACAGGCTTTCATTACAAGTTGTCCCAGTGTGAATAAATCAGCAACACTAAGCTAACTTGACAGCACCAGATCCATTATGTTCGTTCACCACCTATTCGCTGACTTTGTCAGTTGTTTGGTGCTGTGCAGGTGGTGTACACTGTGGCCACAAGTCTTCTGGTGTTTGTTAAGTTCTTGTTGATCAAACTGTTAAAACATAGAAGGCAGAGAACAGTTATAAAATCAACAAAATGACTCAGTATATTCAGTTACACAACTTTGATCTAAAGCTTGCTAACTTTAGAAGTCATTAGCAAAAAATAGTTGATGACAAATTCTCCTGGAAATCTCATATCAGATATGTTCAGCACAAAATAGCAAAAAATATATCGATATTGGCAAGGGTTAGATATGTTTTGGACGGGAAAGCACTACGCATTTTGTATTCTTCATTGATTTTACCATACTTAGAGTATGGCGTTGAAAACTGGGGAAATACATACAAAAGCTCACTTCAACCATTGTATATATTACAAAAAAGAGTGATAAGAATTGTGCATAAGATGGGGTATAGGGATCACACCAATGGAGCGTTCATACAGTCTAAATTGTTAAACTTTTTGGTTTAGTGGGTTATAAGACTGCTGTGTTTATGTATAAAGCCAGGAACAATTTATTACCTGGTGGAATTCAAAAACTATTTAATGAAAGGGAAGGGGGATACAATTTAAGGGGTCAGTTAAATTATAAATTTCATGCTATACGTACAACCAAAAAAAGATTTTGTATTTCCATAAGTGGGGTAAAACTATGGAATAATTTAAGTGTGGACATAAAAAATAGTAATAGAATTGACGAGTTTAAACATAAATATAAAGGTATGTGTCAATCAAGATATATGCAAGAACAGGCTCAATGATTAATTAGATGGAACATTGTGGGTGTGGTGTATGAATGTTAATACTCTGTAATAATTCTTTAATATATTACTTGTGTGGTGTAGAAGAGAATTATTTACTGCTTGCAAACCAATGATGTAAGATGATGTCATGGGGTAGGACTGGATAAGTCTGACTTCTTCCTACTCCATTCAAGCATGTCCTAGGTATAAGCACATTGATATTGGATTAGCATTTGTTGGATATGTGTAAAATTATGTGTGTTGACATATCAACTGTCTTTACATGCTTGAAAGAATAAATCAAATCAAATCAAATCATATACTATTCATATCAGCTAAAATAACACTAGCAATAAAACCTTTGAGGGAAAAGAGTAGAATTTACATGCTTGAAAGAATAAATCAAGAGTAGAGCACAGGTGCAGTGTATTACTAATTCATTTGTAAGAGTATGAGTGGCTTTTGGTGACTATGTAATGAAGATTAAAACTGTTAATATCATTGTTCTATTTAGAGGAGATTAATTTTAAGTGGAGATAAGTGGGTTATTTGAGTTGGACCTGACTCAGCCATGCTATGAGTAAATATCAGGAGGGACCAGCCATGTTTTGAGAGCGTGTGATGCTCTAAAGTACCTGGGAATATCTTGGCAAACACGGTCTCCTGCAGTTACTGTGCCCAATACACTATGGTGTATTCTCAAACAAGGCATTTAGGTCCAAGCAGCTTATACTATATTGTTCATCTCTCATATCAGATTGGATGTAACTGGGAAAATGTGAAATTGGCACTTAATAGAAATAATAAGTCTGCACAGTGAACTGAATAAATCAAGGCTGAAAATTGTACAATGTCACCACTATAGTTATGATTCTGGTGCATTGTAATTTCAGTCTGGTCTCTGGCTGTTTTTGTGTGGGTTTGGTTCTGGTGGTAGCGTTAAAAATGTCTTACATAGCTGATCTGCCAACTTCTGGGCAGTCTGATCCAAAATGAGTGAGAGGACTATGTTGATTAACCTGGGTGGAGTTTTCTCATTTTGCTACTTTGGATTAATGCTTACGGCAATTATTTCATAATTGCACAAAATATTTCTAAATACCAGTAAATTAAACTGTGAATCATGGGTAGCACTCAGCAGTTTAAATTCCATGATGTATGCAACCCAGAATATACTGTATATCCATTCAGTTTTAAGTCAAACGTAAGTCAACGTCCTGCCAGCTTGAAGCAGCAACATCAGTACTGATTTGCAGCAGTAAGATATAAATGTTGTGCAGGTGTACAACTAGAAAATAAAGCGGTTTAGTGCATTTTGTCAATAAGAGTGTGTATAATATACTGCATTATAAAGGTTTGTTTGCTTTTATAGACTTAGCCTGAGCTTCAACAAACAGACCTAGGCTAGATTTTCAGTATTATCTCTCTGTGTGTGTGTGTGTGTGTGTGCGCTTTTTAAAAATATATGAAATGTAATATTTTAAAATATTTTTTACATTTTCAGATCTGCATTAACATGTAACACAAGTTGGAATACAGTGAGCTGTTGGGGGGTGCGTGATTTCTGGACTTGTATGGTGCCCTCATTGTCTTTGATGTCCAGCTCTGCTCATCAACAGCCTTTTGTCCCACACATGACATTTGTGCACTGCAGAAAGAGTAAAAAACACACAAAAAAGAAGAAAATGAAGAAAAAGCTGGCATTCAGGAGTGGAACACGCAAACATGTCTGCCTCAGAGGGCGCCATGATAGCAGCTGATAAAAAACATCAAATTAAATTTCGCTGTTTTAGCTAAAAGCTCTGAAAACCCACTGCCAAGCACTAAACAGCAGACAAGTTAGCAAGCAGCTGGTGAACAAAGTGGAATATTTAGCAGCTCATGAGCTGATAATTTCATTAAGAGCTGGTGAATACAAATACAGAGCTAAAAGTAAATATTGGGCTTACACTGACCTGAAATATAACTCCAAAAATTGCTAATGTTACTGTGTGTTGCCTCTGTGTGTAGTTAAATATAGCTAAATACAGCTAGCTGTTTACTAGCATGTTAGCCATATTAACTTGGTAAGTTGTTGTGTTTACAGCATTCTGCAGTGCTCTTGGGCAGCCCAAATAAAATATAAATGCATAATACAAGTTTAAAAGACAGACGCAGACTGCTTCACTTCAAGTTTAGTATTTTTAGACAGAAAAAGGCTGATGAATTTTATCCATCTCTTACACTGGGGTCAAGGGATCACTTCACAGCTAGCATGGACAAGAGGAATGATTACAATGACCAGCAATGCTTTTGATTTGTACAGTGAGGGGGCATGTGGGGAAATATATGAACTTGTCCTTTAACAGTTACATTAGGATGTCATAATGTGAGGCAGAGGCTAGTTGTCACCGGTGTGATCTCATTTTCACGTATGGGTAATTAATTATATTCATGTTTAAAATGTCCACATTTCTTTATTTTGCAATTTGAATATTTTATTCTTATTTTTTATGTAGTCTGTTTTTCTTTGAGCAGTTTTACTTTATCTCTGTCTTCTTCTTAGTTGGTCTTTCCTGTTTTCTCTCCCTCACCACTCTAGGTTTTTGGGCTGTTCCAGTGGGCATTGATAGCCAGTGCCACCTACATGGTGGTACCAGCATACGGCTGGGTGTTATTTGTGGCCATCACACTGTGGATCACCACCACAATCCTTTTCTTCATGATCCTGTTCGATGCCCAGGAAAAGCTCACCGCTGTCCCCTGGCCCCTGACGGTAGGGAGGTTAATGTGCTTTTATTTTGTTGTTTCTGAACTTAAAATGCCTGGAAACATGATTTCAAGTCTTAAGTATAGCAACAAAGTCAAAGTTTGAAAATTATGTTCTTTACTTGACACTTTTTTGGCCACTTCAAAGAAGTGAAAAGAACAGACAGAAATTTGTCATGTGAATTCATTCAAAGCAAGTAGCCAGTATGCTCACATAGGAGCCCATCATCCATTATCTGTACCACTTGAGGGTCACAAGAGGGCTTGAGTCAATCTCAGCTGACAATGTGTAAGAGGTCACCAGTCTACCACAGGACTGACACATTGAGACAGCAACTCACATTAATACCTACTTTAGAGTCGCCAGCCACCTTAACTTGCTTATCTTTGGAGTGTGGGAGGGAGCTGGAGAAACCCCACACAGGCATGGATAGAACATGCAGATTCCATACAGAAAAGCAAGGTTCAATGTAAGGTTCAATCGCAGAACATTCTAGCTGTGAGGCAACAGTGCTAACCACTGCACTGCCAGGAGTAAAAAAAAAAACAGATGAAAAAACATGTTCCGGGCCTTTAAAGTGATGCTATCTGCTTTGTGCTGTCCTTTGCAGTAAAAAGATCTTAGAACATTTAGTCATGAAAATTCATTTGTGAAGTGGTGCATAGTGTTATGCATGTTATGAAAGACTCCGAAACAAGGAGCAGAACAGAAAAGATTCAGAAAAGCTGGTGAAGGTCAAGCGGAACAAGCGGAAAGGAAAGGCTCCAAGGAAATGTGGCTAATGTTTCTCCTCTTCTGCTAGGTGATGTTGTACCACGGCATAGCCACAGTCCTCTATCTGTCCGCCTTCCTGGCCAACGCAATATCTGTCCAGCCTTTCTATAAAAGCTATTATTATGGTCATATGGCAGCTGCTGCAGTAAGTTACCTGACACTGCTCCCACTTACTCACATGCAAAGAACTGGTTAAATATGCAAGAAAGATTGCACTCTGATATGGCCATTGTGTTGTTAAAACTCTAGGCCTGGAGAGTCATTCAGTCATATGTTCACTAAGTCATCCATGCATTTTACAGGTTTACTCTCCCTCTACTCATCTCATTCTCATAACTCTTTGGCTAGGTGTGTTTCTGATAGTATGTTTATTTATCAGGCTGTGGTCACACTACTGAAACCTGAGGAAGTGGGAGAGGCAGAATAAGACAAAGGGTGCAGTTTTCTTATGGCTCATGATTAAGGAGCTTGTCATGTGTTTGAAAGTACTTTGTTTGGTATCTTTGTACCATGGCTACCACTCACTCACTCCTCCCCTCTGCTGTTTAAAGGGATCAGTGTTTCATTTAAATTCAAAACACAGATCTGAGGCAGATGCATATCAGCAGCTATGGGAAAGTTATGTGTATGTGTAAGACAAAAAAAAACTAAACAAAAAAAGGCAACTATCAGAAAATGCAGGATTGACATACTGTTTTACAGTTTCTTGCACAAGCTGAAGTGCAGGCAAATTTACAGCTACAGTAGCATTTAACACACATACAAGGCCCTGGCCCCCATCCTATCACAGTCTCTTATCAGCTACATTTTATTGCCTTTGAGGCACAGCAGTCAGAATGCAGCTACCAGGGATAATGGCCCATTAGCACACTATTTCAGCTGTTAAATCACAGGCACCTGCAATCTTTATAGACATGAATACATAAAGATGCGAATTTATCTTTGACTTCTGTCAGCTGTTGAAGATTTCAGACCTTTGCTCTGCTTCCTGAAACCATTTCAGCATCGAAATTGTCTGTCCTTTCTCCTTTTCACCTCCTGACATGGTCCCTGTCCATCTGGCTGTCCAGTTCTTTGGTGCTGTCGTGACCGTGGCTTATGGTGCCAATGCTTTCTTCTCCTATTTGCACTGGAGGGGAGATGGAGGGAATGCTGCCACCACCACGGTGCTGACCTAGGACTCAAACCTGTGATACCACTCCTGGGAAAAGACTTCCTTGTGTTTTCAATTCCTCAAGACACTGTAGCTGTTCAGATAGTCTAGTGCTGATACTCAACCTTCAGCACACTGTCACTTAGCAACCAAAATCCTGGCCTTGACCTAACCCCAGAACATACAGTCTCCATATGATACTTTTCAGGTCAGCTCAACAGGCTTACACAGAACACAGCATCAAAATAAGTGGATCATAAACACAAATGTGGCAATTGACAGGATATCTCAACAACACACCATCAACCCAATATTTCCTTGAAGGAGGAAGTGAATTGCACTGAGGCCTCACATTCAGACCATCCTAATGCTTATATGGATGGAATAGACTTCATACACACATTTTATATCATTCTAGTCAGAGCACTACTGTATATAGTTACTAACACCTCCAGGCTGAAAGTAGCAAGATAGCAGTGAAGTATACTTTTCAACATGTCAGACTCCTACTTTAAAATAAGATCATCCCCATAGAGCTTGGGCGAAATTTGAATTGGAAGAAAAGAAATTTGAATTGCAGTGTAAATTCAGTTATTTGTTCATATTCTGATTAACATATTCTACCACTTTCATAGATCCTGATTAGCCTATACCAGAAAATGTGAAATATGTGGATGTTTGATACCATGAGGTCCATTTTCATGAATTAGTTTGATTAAAAGACCCCATATCAGCACAAAATAAGATGCATACAGGTTCTTGTATTATTGCTGCCTCACAGCTAGGAGAGGAAAGATCACATTTGCACCATGGAGTGTAAAATGTTTCCATTCATTTGTCAATGTGGCATCTGAGAGGGAGAAAGAATAGATCACAAGAACCTTTGACAAACCTGACAGCTCAAACTTTGACACCAAAGACTTTGATTTTAAACGTTCAGTAGTATAGAACAGTATGTCTAGGTCTGTTATCCATCAAGGAGCGACATGAAGAAAAATAATTATTGAAATATGAAAAATATTTTTTCTTTACAGAGTGTGGTGTTACTCCCATAAAGTGACACAGCAGCAGAGGAGGCTATGACTGCTGGCATAGTGTCTGTGTCCTGCAAAAATCGGTTTTGATTCCCTTTGCTGAATAGTCAGATGACATTTCACATGCTCTCACAGAAACACATTAACCCCATGTAGACAGACCCAAAACACAAACAAAATTAGAAACACATAGTACATTCTAAACATTTTGTAAGGCTGTGAAGATGCAGTATTCCTGCAGGACATAACTTCTTTTAGATTCACATATTGTAGAGGTATGCAGCATGTTTATATGAAACACTGCTCAGCTCCAGTTGTATTGTATGTGCCACCAGACCTCTTGTACAATTAAGCACTTGGTGATTTCAGTGTCAGGTTTTGTCTGATTTATTTCAAAACATCTTTTTACTAACAAAAGTGGTATCAACTGTATTTCAGCAGTGACATAAATACACCTTTGCAATCAAAATGGTTATGTTAAGACAAATAGAAAACACTTTGACACTGCTGAAAACTATACTGTAAATCTTATTTCTAAATGCAGATACACACAAACACACAACTGCTATATACATTAACATTCACAGGCACAAAACTCAGTCAAACTGACCAAATAATTTAGAATTTCATAAAACATGTTAGCTCTGCTATTCTTCTCTTATGAGAAAACAAACCAGACAAAGAGAGCAACTTCACACATGCACTCATATCCAACGTTGTGCACCAGTCGATAAGGGATCTGTTGATGCCTGTCAAATAAGAATCAGGAGGCTGAGTTGAAAATACAAGCATCAGTCTTGTGCCGGCACCAATTTTTTGGTTCCAACTCCTCAACTAGGCAGAGCTTGTAACTGCTAAATTCAAATAAACATATATGTGGATAAGAGGAAGATTGTAGATTAGGCCTCACACATACCAACAAATTCCAGTTTGAGAGTTTTGAATATTTCAAGCGGTTGTTATGTCCAGTGCAGTGGTTGGGGAGTAGAAGAAAGTCAAGACCTTCCATCTACACTCTTTAATTACAGAGAGGCTTTTAAACACACATGCCAACCCACTTGCCACATAAAACACAGACGAATGCATATAAGTATACATTTGTCATTAGAGGCCATTTGTGCACATCCTGTAGACTGATGGGTGAGAGTATCCTGAAGCCTGTCATCACAAACATCACTGGCCACAAGCTAAAATCTTTCTCAAGGCTCATGGACAAAATCTGACATGACCACATAGAGTAAGAGGCAATTCAAGTGTGTGGGTGTCACTGTGATAGTCCGGATCCTGCAGGGATCAGAGATGTGACCACCAGTCCCTGGCCCAGGTCCAGACCTCGGCCCTCCTTCTCCTACAAACACACAGATTCACACAGCCACTATTACAGCAAAGCACTTCAGTTCATGTATATTTTAATAGTGTATTATAATTGGACTGGGGCTATGTTTATATTTGCTATCTTTCTTTAAGAGCTACAATTCACTACATATATTTTTGTTGTTTATGACAGGTGATAGTGCCGTGCAGCCTGTGTACAGCTTGTGCAAAAAAGACATTTAGGAACAATGTGGTTCAAGAAACATACAGAGAAGTCTCCGGGTTTTGGATCAAAACAAACCTTTCTATTTTTATTTTCACTTTATGTCTTGACTGATTTTATTTTAGTTTTAATACTTATTGTTTTTAATGCTCTTAATGTTTCTTTTTGACTATGTCAATTTGCCTATGTGAACTGCCTCTGTGTATGAAATGTGCTATATAAATAAAGTTGCCTCGCCCCGCCTGTGACTGTGTCACACTGTACCACATTATAAAGTGTAACCTTGTGTACATAGTAATAGAACATCAAATAAACCTTCAGTCAATTGTCTACTGTACCTGAAGGTTTGCTGGCTTCATTTACAAGATGGATTTAATTAAATGGACCTTGAGGCAACACCACAGAGACCAGTTCATAAGCATGAAGTATAACATCAACTGTCAATACGCTCACTTGAAAAGGGAGAAAATTCCATATGACCAATTTAAAAACCTGTTATTTGTTGGCATAAATTCTGTTGGGATTCTCAGTGAAGTCAGATTTAAAGATTTTTCAGGCTTCCAGAAAACTCACTGCTCTGTACTCCAGAAACATCTCCTTGAAGGCCATGAAGTCAGTGAATGTCAGCAACATGTCAAAAATGTCAGTGGAGACCTCCTCTTTGTGGTGCCTGCACATGAAAGATAAACACACCATCAATCTGATCATATGGTCAGTGTACTCATGTGCCACCTAGTGGTCTGCTGCAAAATAATATTTGTTAGAAGTAACACAAACTGGTGTATGAGATAACTGGTTGTTTTCATTGAATTTAAGTGGATGAGTTGCTATAAGCAGAAAACAGGAAGCAGCTGTGATGTCACATCCTACATGAGCAGCTCTATAAACGTATTCATGTTGAAGCTGGGAATCCTCTCCATCAGATGCTGCTCCAGGTGTTTCTCCAGCTGGTCAACCTACACAAAAACAAGTTAATATGAGTTTGGTCTCAGTTTATTTCCACAACTTTTATAGAATTTCAGTAAAAAAAAAAAAAATCCCAATATAGATGAGAGAGTTTGTGCCATACTCCTGAAGGTAATTGTGCATTGACAGATAGTTATATAAAACTGATGATTGTATGTCATATTCCTTGCTCAACAACTCACATATTCATTGAAGATCAGTGTGTAGCTGAGCTTGTTCTCATCAGAGTCATCAAACTCCAGGTAGTGTTTCTCCATGAAGATCTGCTGAAGCTGCTGGAACTCCTCCTCTAAAAGAAGAGTAATGTGTAGACGTGTAGAACATCACACATCTTTACCATCAGTTGATGAAACACTGAAGACTTCCACGTCCTCAGCTGGCTTACACTTACTGCTCTTTTATAATATTTACCCTAAAAGTCTCAAATATTTGTCTCACAGAAAAAAAGACTGATTGAATATGTTGAAGCACTTTAAGAACCTAAATCACAATTTATTTCATACAAACAAGTTGCCTTCATTTTCACACACAAAAAAAAAGCCTGTTCACAAGGATAAGACAGTGACAATCACCTTTCACTGTCACGTTATTGAAAAATTAATCATTCGCAAACAATAGGACTGAAACTTTTTTTTTTGGAAAAGACTGACAAGTACAATAAAGTATTAAAAAAGATGCCTCCATCTCTAGTCCTACCCATGATGATGTCCTCTATGCAGCCAATGACAGCATCAAAAGCAGCATCTGCATCTGAGGAACTGTATGGGGAAAAACAAGCAATAATAAAAGTCACATCACTGAAAGTTTTAATGAATTAGCATCTTAACCTGTTTATCTGAGGTGTAGAAATATTTCACTTTTGTCATGTTGGAGGAGATCATTTCACTGCTGCACTGCCAGCACTTAGTCTACATCTGCCCACTGACAGCTGAGTCATCTGTCATAAGAAACTGACATCAGATGCATCTTTCCTTTGCATCTCTTTGTGTCTTACAATGGGAGGTGACACGGGAGGGGCAGCTGTGGCTCAGGAGGTACAGCGGGTCGTCTCCTAACCGGAGGATTAGCAGTTCGATTCCTTGAGCAAGACAATAAGCTTCCCAGTGTATGGTTGGGAGTGTGAATGGGTGAATGGCCAAATAGTGTGCAAGCGCTTTGAGTGTGCTGCAATGCACAGAAAAGCTATACAAGTACAGTATATCACAGAAGTGAGTACACCCCCTCACATTTTGTAAATATTTAAGTATATCTTTTCATGCGACAACACTGAAGAAATGACACTTGGCTACAATGTAAAGTAGTGAGTCTACAGCTTGTATAACAGTGTAAATGTGCTGTCCCCTCAAAATAACGCAACACACAGCCATTAATGTCTAAACTGCTGGCAACAAAAGTGAGTATGTCACTATCGGTTCATTTATGTTAATTCCAGACCTTTAAGTTTGTCAGGGCTCTACACTAACGTTTATTTTTAGGGGCACTTGTGCTTTTAATTCAAATTTAATGTTTTAAAGTAAAAATGTGCTATATAAATAAATTACCTTGCGACTACCACACACAATGAACATTTCATTAACCTTTACATGTAAGCACCTGTTCTCAGAAAGTAAAAGACACCACAGAGGCCTAAACGGAAATGTTCACATACTGAATTAGCATTTAGAAATCCAAAAGACTTGAACTGTACCACGAATTGCAATTGGCTAAAGAAGGCTTTCAGCCCTACAGTACACTCGACGTGAGCTTCAAACAACCCACCTGGAAATGGCAATGTTTTCTTCATCCATGTCAACCATTTCTACGATGTTCTCTCCACAGCTGCGGACATCTAGAGGAGGGAAGAGGCAGTTTTAGTAACATTTGCTGTTAGTCAAAACCATAGTCTGTAAATAAAACAAAACGGTTAACTAGCAAATGTTAGATTTGACAACAACCGCAATATTGCCGTTTGTCACAAAGCTACGAAATTAAATCTAACAAGTTTTGCTTGTTACTTACTGAATAATAACGCCACGCTAGTTAGCAGACTGGCTAAGTAGTTAAAGGTTAGCTAACAGCTAAACACATGTTGCGTTTGAGTGAACTGTCAGGATTTGTTAGCTACACTTCAGAATCAGAATTAGAATCTGCTTTATTGGCCAGGTGTGTCGGACACACAAGGAATTTGACTCTGGTACAGCTCAACGTGCATGTACATATCCAACGTGCATGTACATATCCCCATGCAAGGCGCAAGTAAACAGTAAACCAACATGAGGTTGTGTAGTTTTCCGAGTTAAAAGTATTACTCTGCATCTTTCTTAAGCTACAATAATGTTAGTAAAATAAATTAAATTGACTTACTTCGTCCCTGAATGTCCATATTGTTTGAATAAATCGTTGACGTGCTTTGTAAATAGGGAACGTATTGTTGTTTCCAAGGAAACGGTGAACGTCTGTACATCCCGTCCGGTAGACCCAAAGTCTATGCACATTGGTTCCTACCTGAGGACATACAGTATCAATGGGTTTATGGAAAAGAGACACGGTTCTTAATTATTCACTCTATTTACTCTCTTGAAAGAGGCAACTCTTACTTACAGGATGTCACAAAGTTTGCTTGCTCTTTGTACTGAATTGTGTCTTAAATAAGCTTGGCTGTGATCCAGTTATTTCAAGAGATACAATACATACATATGAAGCTCTACACATTTCATTTTCTCACATTAAGGGCAAGCGTATCTGTTAGAACAACCGGAAAGCCAGTGTTTAATAATCAGATTATCACAGAGAAGATTTGAGATATAATCACCACTCCGTCACTCACTCTCACGCACACACAAATAAAGTATATCACATGGACATACATTTATTATAAATATTACAATCCACAACAAAATTCTTCAATAAACCACATTTTTGTGAACTCTGGGGTCAAAAGTCCTTTATAGATAATTCAAACACAACTCACAACTTATTCTTTACAATCCTGAATTTCATCTACAATTGTACAGATAACTGTATAATTGTTCTCACCTGCATATATAAGGTGCTCCAGGAAATACATGGTAGCAAACAGTGACCAGACCTGTCTTTTGTCATACTGAGAGGAGAGATGCATGCTATACTTAAGAAATCATTCCAGTATAGCCCAAATGATTTTACAGATCTTGGAATCATACAATTTGGTGGAGTAGTAATTTTTTCATAAACAATTTGACCAAATAAAAAATCAAAACTGTGCAGTGTTTTAATTTGAAACGTAACAACCTTTTAAAATGGTATAAACAGAATTTTTCTTAAGTCGCAATCTCTTGTATGTTTATTTTATCACCTGTTTTCAAAAGACAAATATTGTCAGTTCAGAGACTCTTCAAGTAAAGGATGGACAGAAGGGAAATGGAGAACACAAGAATGAAGACAAAGGGAAAAAGACGGAGAAATGCTAAATGAAGACATAGAGAGATGCTGCTATAAAAAGCAAAAAGATAAAAAGTGTCCCAGTCTGAACCAGTCACCTGGAAGATATAGTTCTAACCTGACAAACTTGTTTGGAAAAGATTAATTCTGTATGCAAGAAATATCACAGAATGCTGTGATTTGCAGCAAAAAAAAGCATTAATACATATTTTTCTGTACTAAAGCCCAAATGCTTTAGTTCATGTCACAGTGCTTTGGGTATTTGATTTACTTTTTTTTGTCAAGTATTTCACTGCCAAATCAGATTCAAAGTTGCATCATAAGAATGGCCCTGGGATATTTAGTAAAATCATACTGAGGAAAAACAATTCACATGAACATTTCACATTTGTTTGAAACAATTTACTGATCTGTTTACAAAACACTGTCAATCAACATAACATTTGTAGTCATGTTACATAAATGACTGAGACGGAGTAAAGTAAAATCAACATCTCTGCATAGACATAGCACAAAAAGCAACAGGGTCAGCAATGCTGAACATCTATTTGTCATAACAGAGACTCAAGTATGCAGTTTTTGAGTGGGTGTGAAACAGGAATTAAGTTACCATCTTTCTCTGTTGTAATACAGCTGATTAGATTTTTATCATCTTTTGTAAATTAAATCAGAAAACAGAACTCTAGGAACAATAGGTATTCTGACACCAGGAACAAACTCTTACATCTTTTTCTGATGGGAAACCCCACCAGTGGGCAGCCAATCAGTACAGAGAGTGAAAATGACCTAAGGTACTGGTACACCCTTGACAATGAAAATGTTACCTCAAGAACAACACAATTCCCACATCTATACCCAAAAATAAAAAAGTGAGATACATCTTAAAATATATCTGTACCATGGGTTTAATACTGTACTACAGCCTGTGTTCTTTCCTGCTATCCAGCCCTTTCCGATCTGCAGACGTGCATGATGGTAATGGGATTAAATAGTATTAGCCTGAGATCCTGGTATCTGAAAGGATGCGTGTTAACTCTACACAGGGGCCTTACAGATGTGAAGCCGATTCTGTCTGTAATCTGGTTAAACTGTTTCTGCTCCTAACATCTGCCACTGTCTGAAAAACAATGGCTGTAGAAAGTTGATTCCTGGCCCAGTTTCTGCAGGCAGTTGTCAGAAGGGTAAAAAAAAAGATGTAGGTAAATGAGAGAAAGCTCCTGGGGACTCAGCTGTGGCTTGACTTCCCTTCTCATTTCCTGTCATTCTTCTTTCCACTCCTCCATCGTCAAATCCTCTGACCAGAACTCCAGTTCTGGCATCATCACAACCCTGTAGCACTGTCTTCACAGCCCCGCTTGGTGAGAGGCAATTAGGGGAGGAGGAGGAGGCTGTAGGGCTTGTGTGTCTTCCCTTACTATATGAGGGGCACAAAGTTGGTCAGGAAACATGTGCAATGAGTCTGACTCGGTTTTGGATGTCCTGACGGCACAGCGGGCATGTCTCTAACTGTAAGGCACACTCCATACACATACCCCTGGAAGAAGATAGGGAAAAACATAAAGGAAGCTTTTACTATAAATTCACAGAAAATGCTGGATAGGGGAAATTAGCTTGCTGATTGGTTACTAATTAAAGAACATCTATCTAAAAAGGAAACATCTTTATTTCAGCAATCCACATAATTTGTAATCATGTTCATTTAAATCACATGCACACATACCCATGTCCACACGGCCGCAGCTCTGTGTCAGCCATGACGTCACAACAAAGCGTGCAGCAGTTGTCTCTGATGCTAACCTGCTTAAGTAAGGCCAGACGCCGGTGTCTGGGAAACACAAACATACATAAAATACACAAAACAAATGAATATAATAGTGATAATAGTAAGGTCTAGACCTTACTTTTTAAAGTGCCCTGAGATGACTTTTGTTGTGATTTGGTGCTATACAAATAAAATTTGATTTGATTTGAATTTGAATATTTCCATTTACAGATATGTATTTAAGTCTTTTTTTATTTCTTTGTGCCAAATGGACACTTAGGCTCTGCAGATCAGCATGATATATGTGCACTGTAAAAAGTCCATTAAATTACTTTTGCAGAACACTTAACATATCACACTAGCTTCTTATTTCTATTAGCACACATTCATTTTTCTAGCAAGTACAATAACTGCTGTAAAGCAAAGCTATGACAACTTAGCTTAACAAGGTTCCTTCATATGCTTTATGTATGCTTTCCAGGTGGTATGCTTTATATAAGAGTAAATAAAAACTATCACAAGGTGTACAGTAAGCAACAAAGTTCACAGAATTATAGGTTTAGCTACATTTACTGTGGAATGGTATTTTACATTTTATTCAGATGCTTATACTGTATGTCATCATTTATAATCTAATGATCTACTTTTCAATACAAAAACAGCAGCTGTGATATCTGAGTGAAGACCTCATTTTGAAGGCAGGAGCCATGTATGAACCTTTAGCAAGCATCATGAGAGTGATGTATGGCAGTAACCTTACTGTCAGCATTAGCGTGACATCACACTTATGAAACAAAAAGCACACCACTGTTATTTTATCAGGAACCTATTAACACAGATGTAGTGTGAGGCAGCTGACCAACAAGGTGCTGCTTCAGATGTTGATGATGTGGACAGGCATGATTAGTCACATAAAGCGCAGTCATCCTGTAGACAGGCTAGCCTTCTGATTTTTAGTGAGTAATGCCTTATTCATTATTTCTTTACACCACAGCTTTTCTCCTAGTTCATTCTAATTCACTACTCAGTATAAAATGTGGAGCATTTCAAGCTACCTTTTGTGTCAAGGGGTGGCTCAACACATCAACTATGCCTATTTGAACCTGTACACACAACACTATAATAATTATTACTTCTGCCAAGGGCAAGGGTAATGTTTTTGCCAGAATCTGTTGGTTTGTTTCTTTAACAGCCTAACTCCCAAAGCAGTGAACAGATTTTGATGTAGGGTATAGCCCATGGAACAACTGATTAGATTTTGGTGCCATATGTATCACAATTTGGATATAGGCCTTTTTTTTTTTTAAAGATTCTTCACCACTGTGAGTGATGATAAGGATGCCTGACTTTATGTCAGCCCCCTGGTAGCCAAAGTGTGTAGCTGCGCTGCTGAGCACATAATGGAGATAATGTAATTATCTGAAGTTCAGGAGTAGGACCCAACCTGAGCCAAGCCCCTTCTGTTTTTGCACTATTTAACCGACCCAAACCACCGTACTTCTGCTTCTTGTTAGGCGGCTCGCCCACTGTACATGTGGTTGTTCACCTCATTTTGTCTGTTGATTTTCCCCCTCTAAAGGCATGTTGTTTTCTGTGCCATCACTGGATCAGCTTCTCCATCCTTTTTAGGGGTGTCCCTCTCCACCATCTGCGGGGCCTTCCACATTTGCTACTCCGCAGGCCACCACAACCTCCTCGTCAGCTGCCTTGTCAGCTTCCCCCATGTTTCGCCTCTATGGGGACTCCGGCTACTTGTTGCTCCTCTCCTGCCTTTCATTCCGTTTCCTTAATATCTCATTCCCTGGGCACTAGGCTGCCTCCTTCTGTTCCGTGTTCTGTTCTGTGTTCCATTTCACCAGACTGCCTGCTAATTTTTCCTCCTTTCCTGGTACCGAGAAACCATCTATTCTCTTGCTTTCCTTCGCAAGTGCCCTCCCACCAATTCGATGGGCCCTCTGGGCCAAATGAACAACCCTGTGGGTTTCCCTAGCACCATGTAAGCAAATGACGCAGAGAGATGCTTCACTTCGGCTCTGCCTACTCCCTCCTTCGTCCTCCCTGCTAGCTCCTCTGCACAACAATGATCTTCTTCTCTGTTCTACCCAAGGTTCATCACTTCAATGAGTCCATTCTATCTTTTAGAAGAGCAGTGTGGATCTTCTTAGCCTTCCCCAAAACCATCAAGCACACAAGCATATACAAGCATGCCACTCACTACACCCCGCTATGTGAAACAAGGACTGAAGGAGCCCAATGAGGCAACAGCCCAGAGCTAGGGAAACCTCTATTGTATGCAGCAACAGCTGGGCGAGAGTGTGGTGGCAGAGCCAGGCTCAAAGCTGTTATGGAATATGTAGCCAGTCTATCCAAGTAATGCCAATTTAGAATTAGTTTTGACATCTTTGGAGATGTGAGTGCTTGTTATCTGACCAAGCTAGCTTTATTAGCAGGCAGCTACATCTCATTCAGAACACAGCATGTCAGTGGGGTTGCTGGTGTTCCCCCTGCACATTATAGCTATGTTTCCACTTTTAGAACCAAATGCGTGGTACACCCTGTGCTTCCCTTAACCATCACCCGGCATAACCTCACAGGTTGACATGGACCATCTTACTTTACTTTACTTTCTCTCTCTCACACACACACACACACACACACACAAGCAGAGGATGTGAAGTATTGCTCCATAGTGCAACAATCAGCCAGTAACAGAGACTGTATGAGAAGTTTATCAAACAGCTGTTGAACAAGCAGAACACCAACTTCTAGAAATGTGATGTGTTCACTGTGGTCCACTCACTAATGTACCCGTTTTACCCCTAAACCAATGAGTTAATATCTATCATGACTAAGGGTTTTCTTGAAAAACAATCAGCACCATTCAAAAAAATGCCAGCAGTAGGTTTTCATGGTCAAGCTATCATATTAGCCAGCAAGATCATCCCTCACGGACATTTTTAACACCCGCCTCACGTGCAGAGCCATCAGCATTGCTGATGACACCTCCCACCCCACACACTCCCACTTCAGGGAGAAGGCATCAGAGTCTTCAGGCCCACTCCAGCAGACTTGCAAACAGCTTCATTCGCCAGGCTGTGAGGATGCTGAACACTATCCATTACCTCCCCCCCCTCTGCACCCTGCCCAAGGACTGTGACCCACCACAGAACATAAAAAGACTACCTCTGCTGTTTTGGGTCTTGTTATTTTACATGTAAATCTGCTGCCTACTGTTTTTACTGTCATATCTGCTGCTGTTGGTCATTTGCACTACTGTCCATGTGCATCTCAATCTCACAACCATCTGACAATCTTCTTGTTATTATTTGCACTACTGTCACTGATTGTACATGGCTTGAGTCATAACCTATTAGGTTGTACCGTTTAGTTTTTATCCTAATCACTTTGATTTAGTTGTTTTCTTATTCTTTTTAGTCTATTTTTACTCTACTTTTATTCTATTTTAGTTTCCTAAATGGTATGGCATTCAATACTACGTGAGAGAGAAACGATATTTCGATTTTCACATATAGTGAATTGACAATAAAAATCTTTGATCTCTCTTGATCGCTTGATATTATGAGGGTCAAACTATAATAGGAATTTCGCTTTTACAGTCTCATGCAAAAGTTTAGGCACCCCTTGATAAATAACAAATTTTGGTGATTTTTTATTTGAACAGATGTTAACACAGTTTCTCTTGGAAATGGAAAAAATGCACAATATTTTCTGCAAACAGTGATGCATAGTTACTTCTTATGCCATAAATTGAACAAAAATAAAAAATAAAAACATTATTATGGCATGGTGCAAAAGTTTGGGCACCCTAAGAGTTCCAGAGTCTCAAAGTCTCTCACAAGGTTTCAGACCTTAATCAGCTCGTTAGATCTGATGCACAGCAACAGCTGTCATTGGTAAATGCCAATTTCAAAGCTGTACAAATACTTTGACTCTTCAAACCTTGTGCACACACTTGTGGACACCCAGCAACCATGGGTTCCTCTAAGCAGCTGTGTAAGACCCTGAAAATGAAAGTTATTGATGCCCACAATGCAGGAGAAGGCTACAAGAAGATAGCAAAGCGTTGTCAGCTTGCAGTTTCCACAGTAAGAAATGTAATTAAGAGATGGCAGATCAGGGGAACTGTGGAGGTCAAGATGAGATCTGGAAGACCAAGAAAACTCTCGGACAGAACTGCTCGTATGCTGGTCAGAAAGACAAATCAAAACCCCCATTTGACTGCAAAAAACCTGCAGGAAGATTTAGCAGACTCAGGAGTGGTGGTGCACCGTTCCACTGTGCAGCGATGCTTGCACAGACAAGGCCTTCATGGAAGAGTCAGCAGAAGAAAACCTTACCTGCGTCCCCATCATATAATCCAACGTCTGAAGTATGCAACAGGACATCTACAGAAGCCCGATGCGTTTTGGAAACAAGTGCTGTGGCCTGATGCAGTTAAAATAGAACTCTTTGGACACAATCAGCAAAGGCATGTTTGGAGAAAAAAGGAGCAGCATTTCATGAAAAGAACACCTTGCCAACTATTAAGCATGGGGGTGGATCTATCATGCTCTGGGGTTGTGTTGCAGCCAGTGGCACAGGAAACATTGCACGGGTGGAGGGAAGAATGGATTGCACTAAATACCAGCAAATTCTGGAAGCAAACATCACACCATCTGTAAAAAAGCTGAAGCTGAAAAGAGGATGGCTTCTACAACAGGACAATTATCCTAAACATACCTCGAAATCCACTATGGAATACCTCAAGAGACGCAGGCTGAAGGTTTTGGAATGGCCATCACAGTCCCCTGATTTAAACATCATTGGAAATTTGTGGGTAGATCTTAAAAGAGCTGTGCATGCAAGACGACCAAAGAATATTACAGAACTAGAAGCCTTTTGCAAGGAAGAATGGGAGAAGATCCCAAGTACAAGAATTGAAAGACTTTTAGCTGGCTATGAAAAGTGTTTGCAAGCTGTGATATCTGCCAGAGGAGGTGTTACTAAGTACTGATTGTGTAGGGTGCCCAAACTTTTGCACCATGCCATAATAATGTTTTTATTTTTTATTTTTGTTCAATTTATGGCATAAGAAGTAACTATGCATCACTGTTTGCAGAAAATATTGTGCATTTTTTCCATTTCCAAGAGAGACTGTGTTAACATCTGTTCAAATAAAAAATCACCAAAATCTGTTATTTATCAAGGGGTGCCTAAACTTTTGCATGAGACTGGGTGTAATGGCATTATGTAGAAACAGAGTTGACCTTGGTGGAGGTCTGCACTCTAAGTGATGTCTAGTTCCTGTCTTTGTCAAGATTATAATGTCCAGTTTTTGTTGATGCTGTAGCAAAGAGGTAAATAATACTGTTTAATGTAGCCAAAGAGTGATGAAAATACTCTGTACACTGGAGCAACGCAAAACAATGAGTCATGTTTGTATCATGCCAAACCTGCATGTTGGACACTGCGCAAACAAGTGATTCACTAATCAGAAGATGGTTGGGCAAGACAACAAAAGTACATACTGCCTTCCCAAATTCTATATGTCAACTATTTAAGATACCACAATAAAAATCACTTCAAGGGCTGGTTCCATTCCTTACCTGGGTAGGATGATCTTTTCACTGGGGAGCAGTGAAGCAAAGTCATTGAAGGTGCTGAACTTGACAGAAGGTGGGTGACGGAAAGGTTTGGCCCCAAAGTTAAACTCACACTGCTGGTATGACATAAAGCTGGCTGCAGCAAAGAAGCCGGACCTGGCCAACACAGAAGGGGTGGGGGGACGACAGAAGGAAAGGAAAGCAGTGAAAGAGGACTTCCCACAGAACCCTGAGCCAAAGAACCAGAGATTCAGAAGGCAACTATGTGGACATACGTGGCTGATGAGAAGACCTGTTTTTCTGGTGGCAGCTGATGCCCATTTAGATAGAAGATCATCTGCTTCTTGTTGAGGTCCAACAGGAAGCCAATGGCATCTCCTAAACAAGCAACACACACACACACAGCAGCATGAAGCCTTGGCATGCTATTATTACTATTATCCCTCTATGTGGGAGGTAACTTAGAGCCTCAGTGTTGGCAGTGACAGTAGAGTGTGGGCAATAAACCCACAAACACTTCAGAAATAAAACAATAAAGCACTTTCTAAAAAATGAGTGACATTAAAGCATGGTTTCTCCTGTGCAGGATTAATAGATTAACAGAGTTCATACCCTCCTTCCAGCAGGGATGAGAGTGAGGTTTGCTGCGAGCATTGTACCAGATGAGCTGCCTGCAGCCATCATATGCACATGAGTATTCATCATCTCCTATTCCATAACCCTCCTGAAATGCAACACACATACAAAGGTCTTCACTGTGGGTCTGTGGAGAAACATAATGTGGAAAGGTTGAACAGTGAAGACACTGAAGGAGATTACATGGTTAAGGAACTTGCTGTCCTTGGTGGCCCATCCGATTTGCATTACGCCTGATGTAATGACTGTCACCTCGTAGTACCAAATGCCTGAATCCACACAGAACGTACAACGCACGCTCTCAAAGGATGAGGCATCACATCGTGCCTGAGGAGGGGAGCACATGGAAGAAGAAAACATTCATGAGTAATTCAGTAATTAATTTAATGAATGAGTGGATCTGCTATTCATGAGTAATTCAGTAATTAATTTACTGAATGAGTGGACCAATCAGATTCTAATAAACGTGGCTATTCCTATAGACTCCACACTGACTAACCTCTAACCCAGTGGGGGAGATTTTGAGGTACTCGCTCACATCGTTGCTGTTGAGCATGGCATTGATATTAGTGAGGTTGACCTTCTCGTAGGTGAATTGACGCCCCTCCTTAAGGACTGGACAGCAGAGGAAACATTATCACATTTCTTTCTTTAGTGACACACACCACCTAGTTAAAGAGACTGATGGGATCCTGTTTTTTCAGCATGAAAAACTACACAAACATACAGTGTTGAAAGCACATGGCTACTCACACAGGTTGTCTAGGCTCCACTGTGAACAGAATCCCACCTGCCTCTTCAGGTAGTCAGGATGCTCTGCCCACAACTCCAGGACAGCGAGTCGATCACTGATACATGACTCAGACACTGTCAGTTTGTTCTCACCTGAGGACACGAAACAAGGGTGAGATGGAAGACTAAACAAATAGCCCAAGAAAACAATTTAAAACGATTGTAAAATCAAAATCAATAAAGTGGACAGACTGGTAGTCACGGAAACGGCAAACAGCATCTCTGCTCATTGTTATGATAAGGTCATTTCCAATCTTGTTTTTGTATTGTTTTGCAAGGTAGACACTAGTTTTCAGCTGTCTCATCCATAGTGTTCATTTTGAAATGGCTTTAAGAAGAGTGAACCTACTGGTCTGGGAGAACTTCTCCAAAGCAATGAGAGCAAACAACATGACAGTAGGGTGGGCTTCAGAGCTCTGGAGGGAGAGTTGCAGAACAGACAGTAAGGAAATGGCCGTTAGTTTGTGGAGGCTTTCATTTGAAAACATTTTTCCTTTTATTAAATATTAATAACTTTTTGGACAGTTACACAAAAACCTAAAGACTGCCACAGTGGATGTATGTATTAGGGCCATCACTCTTCCCAAAAATCATGTTTGAACAGTGTTCTAACCAACACATCGTTCATTCAAATTAATTTCAATTAATAATAATGAAATAATAACATAATGAAATCCTCCACAGCCTGTTGCTCTTACTGACATACAGTAACAGTAGCATACATTTTTGGATTCAAACCGGTTTGGTTATTTACTTTTTTACCACACCTGAATGAATGTTCAAAAGTGAAATTAAAAGTGATAGCCCTTCTGTGCATACTGTATTTGCTCACCAGGCTTTCTAAAAGGTACTCAAGGGTTCCAGGGCTCAACAGCCCAATACTGGCTGGTCCTGAGAAACACACAGAGAAAGAGTTAGGGGGCTAAAATTGAACTGTTAGAAAAAATAAACAGCACAAACAGACAAACAAAAAACAATATGAACCTCTATGTCCTGCCTGGGGTTCACTTGTTTTGTTTTTAAAAATGTAAGGAAACTCTATTAATAGTATGCCATGAGGAGAAATTGTTCAGGAAGGACTGTTCTTTTGACTGAAGAGGCTGCTCCATGATTCCATGAATACTGAGTAACTGAGCTAAGATAACCTAATCTAATCTGTACTGTACGTAGAGCTACATAAAAACCTGCTGCCCATAATCCATCATACACAAAGTCTCTTGAAAGCACAGAGACTTTGTGTTCTTCTAATCAGTTGCTTGCAATCAGTGTCTGAGAGTGCGACATGCCAGTGGAAGCAGTGAAGATTTATTCAATGTTTATAAAAAAAATAAAAATAAATAAAAAACAAGTGTGGGGTCACCCCATAGCTGAGTAGTTACGGTGCAGCGCACCATGTACCCAGCAGCACAATATGTGCGCAACATCGATGGATTGAGTACAGCCACCGACATGTCACAGGTCTCTCCTGCTATCTCTCTGCCTCCCCCGTTTCCTGTTCACCTCTCCACAAATCACTATAAAATAATAAAAAAAAACTTTTTTAAAAGTTTGTAAAAATGGACTGTACCAGCCAGTTTCTCTGCGAGGCATCCTAGGACAGCTGTGGTATTTCTGTGTTTAGCCGGGTTTAGAGCGTCCTGTCGTGCTACAGCCGCACTCAGATTCAGCATGTCTGAGAGTTTCTGGAGAGCATCCTGGAGAAAGGATACAGACCAGTTTACTGTACAAACAATTTCAACTAAATAATCTAAAACTGGAGGTGATGGAGGGATTAAATATTACACGTTAAGTCATTTTCAGATGTTTGTGACAGATACTACTGCAAAACAGATCAAAGTAATAAAGTGAAGTGTGGGCAAAATACTGTGTTAAGGTAAGCGCACGTGCACACACACACCCTCTTACTATTCTAGCAGAGAAAGAAATCATTTAAAGGACCAACAACTGGAGAAAGTTCATTAAGAAAATTAAATTTATCATATTAACAGAGTCAGATATCTGGGTCAGTTAGTATCAGCCAACTGCAGAGCCACTTGCCAGCAAGTGTCTGTGTCACACAGGATAAGTAACAGCAGCAACAGCTTAGGTGTGCAGATGTAACATTTCAATGTTGGAGGTAAGACTTTTACAAAAGCAGTTTGATATGTTCCATAGCTGCTGTTTAAGTGTTTGAAGCTTTACATTTTGTTTTTTAAGGCTGCAGAAAAGGTTTTGTTAAATGCAGCATTAATTTACCATGGTGTCCTTGGGTTACTCTGGACAGGAAAACATGGGGTCCTAGCAAGATTTTATTTGTCCAAAGGAAAGAAAGAGGTTGGGTGGAACAGGGGGAGGTGGAAAACTGGGGCCAAAAGAAAACAAAACAAGGAAGAGCAGTAGTGAAGGCTGAAGATTCTTTGGGTCTGTCTAAGAAAGATTTCTATGTAAAGATTTATATAAATAAGCAGTTAATATTTACTGGAGATTAATATGGCACAGTGATGTCTGTGTTCTAGAATGACTTTTATCCAGTACTAATTACTATTTTATCTAGTAGTTAGACATGGAACATCTTGTGCATACACACAAGAACCTAAAGGTGTAAACATGTTGCCTGAAGATGGAACAAGTATAAAAACTGCCTCTAGCAGGACCACATCAACATGCATCCATCTGCTGCTGCTGATACTTGTCTTCCCTGTAGGTCCACATTTTATCTTGTGTAGAAGTGGTCTGACAGCAACTGCTCCTGGGGACTATCAGGAGTCCGCTAAATGTGTGGTGTTTGTTCACTTAGGTGAACAAAAATGTCACTATCACTATCAGGGGGCAGAATTTCAAGCTACACTACCAGTCAAAAGCATGGTCACACTTTCCCACTGAACAAACACACACACACACACAACTACACACCAAAATACAAAACAGATCATGGGATAAAGGAAGTCATAAGGATTGGTTTTCTGATTAGGGCTGCAGTGGCAAACAGAAGGGCAAGGGCATATTTAAGATTACATCTATTCAAAGTCTTTGCTGCTAAGACCAGTGAAAACAAATAAACCTGTGGCTTCAGTGGCCCCCAAGGCTCTGGGTGCCTGAGCAGTTGCCCGCTTTGCCCAGCTGGTAATCCAGCCTTGCTCTTGGTCTCAAACACACACTAATAAACCACTAACCTTGGTTGGCAGGGGGCACTCATCCAACAGAAGGGTGATCACTGCAGGGCCAAGTGGATCATCCAATGGGATCACTCGAATCAGGGACTGGACAACCTCCAGCCAACCATCATCTAAGAGAAGAGATGAAAGGTTCAATTTGAGATTCAACTCAAACATGTAATGGGATTTATTGTATGTGGCTGCATACAATAAATCCCATTACATGTTTGAAAGACAACTCTGGCTGGCTGCAGAGTATTATTAAAATATCTTAATAAAGTTTTATCCTGAACTACATTAAAAACAAATTCTTTCAAGTCTGTTTTCTCCAATTTTGCTACTTTATTTTTATTGATATTTTCAGGCAAAAAGGTTGACATGGACAACATTATATTGACATTAAAAGGACCTTTCAATGACATATGTACAAGAGTTACATCTTATAAAGATATATACAGTGCATTTATGTTTACCTATCAGTTCAAATATTAAAATGTGTCAAGAATTGCTTCTTGCTGCATTTGCTGAAGAATTGATTACACTACATTATATTTATGTTTGAAGTTTTTTTTAATTAATCTAAAGATGATTTTCAAGCCGACTGGCAGTTTTCTTTATGAGGAAACACAGAACTTACATTGAGAGTCTTGATGAAAACACATAACTCAAAGATAATTGAACTGCCCAGAAATCTCTCTGTGAGACAGTCTCCTGGCTTATGAGTACTGAATGCAGCAAAAATGCAAAAACATACATTTCCTGTCCATTAGGTGACTCATTAAGACACACATTCTACCTAACACTATCACGTACAAACTGGGGTGTAAATAATGTAATGTAGCACACATCAAATGGATTGTGACATCTGGCCCAGTCTCAGCTTGGCTGTTGTCAAGCCACACAACATAAGCGCCAAACACCATATGTGCATGACATAAGGCTCAGACATAAGAATTCAAAGGCTACCACATAAACACTCTCACACACACAGCATGATAGCGTCATTCACTGTGTGCACAAGAATACACAGACCCCACAGTCCAAACATACCAACTGAACCTTCAAATATTCACAAATCCAAATAAGAATTAGACCTGTCAGTTACTGTCTAACAAAACAATATATTAACTCTGAAATTTTATGAACTTGGTGCACAAACTAACACAAACACTGATCTGGAAAATTCCAAGCAGAAGAATGCTTAAATACTGTGTTGTAATCCAAGTAGTAGCCAATGCATGATGTGTGGTCATGACTAAGTCTCTCCCTGAGGGGATACAAGGCCAGTGCACATGTTGCAGAAATGCTGAGGCAGTGATTGTAAGTAGCAGACAGGTGGTGTTGCACCCCCGTCCAGTCTCCAGTTTGGCATTAATGGCCCTTTTACACTTCATTCAAACCCACCCATTCTGTTTGTGTAGGATTCTGGTCCTCAAAATTGTGTTTCTTCTCAACAACAGAACAAAGCTCAACCAAACCTAATACAGTATGCTTCCTGTTAGACCTGCTAGTGAACATCACAAATTTCAAACCCTAACATATTATATGCATCATTGACAGAAAAGTATGAGTGGTCTGAAGGAGGGGTCAAATACAGTGGCTCCAGAAAGAGAAAGACCCACATTTGTACACTGTATGTCAAAGATTCAATTATAAATCTATAAATACCTCTGTAAATAAGGAGAATTCAGTATTTGATAGCTGATAACTTCACACACACAAAAAAAATCTAATTACTCATTTTCACTTTGTCATAACAGCTTATTGAATGTAAACTGATGGGAAACTGGGCATAAATGGCATATCTATCCAATTCAAATTACATCTGCTATACGAAGTGTGCAAAAAGTAGTCTGACTATTTAAGGAAGCCACTGTATGTCAAACAGGAAAAACATCCTTGGACAGAGAAAGAGGACTGTAAATGTGTGCTGCTTACAGAGCTACTGTAATATCAGCAGTTCTCAAGCAAAATTTGTGAATTATAACTTTAAAGCTACAATTCAATTGTGAGTTAGTTAGTTTCATATCAACTTGAAAGACACTGAACTTAACCCCATGTCTGAACAATTCTGCACATAAAAGTCAACAAAAACATGCCTTTGCCAGTCGAGGCAGAGCTCCTGCTCCTACCATTTCCCATTTTAAACCCTCTAATTTTAAAAAGCAACATTTCATTTGCTACATGGACAAAAGGCTGGCTGATGTCCTTCATCAGTATATGCTTTTAGTGTGTGAAAATGTGTTGCCATTTTTCCTTACCTGTCTCTGCCATCTCATGCAAAGTAATCATGGAGTAAGGAGGCTCCTGGTCACTAAAAAACAAGAGTTTGAACAGGATATATAATTGACCTAGAGTAGAGCTTTTACCTGAATGCTACACGTTACAAAGTCAGCTCTGCATTTTGCAATATATCAATCAATCAATCAAATTTTACTTGTATAGTGCCAAATCACAACAAAAGTCATCTCAGGACACTTTACAAAGTAAGGTCTAGACTTTACAGAGGGAAAACCCAACAAAGCCCCCTTGAGCAAGCACTTGGCGACAGTGGGGAGAGAGAGAGATGAAAAGACAACCTGCTTCAGATAATTACGACATAGATTTGCTGCAGCAAAAAGACAATTTTATTTCTATAACCTTTAAAACAAATTTAAATTATGGTATCAGAAACCGGATGGCAATGGATGGAAGGGTGTAATGTTGCTAATTAGGGCAAAAAGTTTCCTTCCATCTTGCACAAATGAAAACCTGCAGTGCCACTGTAAATGGCACTGCTGCTTTTCAACAATTTCTGAGAGAAATCTAAACTTCAGAGACCTGCTTGTTCTTTTAGTTCATGCCTGAACACCAAATCCAGTAGTTAATGCGTCTTGCAAACCACAAGCAATTAATTATTTGAGTGGATTTTATAAAACAGCAGAGGAGATAAAGAACATATTGAAATTGTGTATTTCATTGCCCTGATGTGAATCTGAATACTGCATTTTAATGATGTGGTATTCAGACAACCGGTCTGCTGAAAACAGTTTTCAGTCAGTGTAGGAACAACTTCCCTCTCATCTTAAATGTAGAGTGACTGATGGATACAAAAAGCAGAAATCCAAGTTTTTACCAAAGAGTTTTTTAGTACGGTGTACTTTAGTTTGAGATGTTTTAAACTAACAAAATATTTCTGAGGAAAATAGATTTAATAACATATATGACTACTGTAGTTGCAACATGGCAGTGTAACATTTAAAAGCTGGGACTACCAAAGAGCATATAACAATAAAACAAAAAACCTAATTTAATACTCAATATAAAGATAATTAGGATGTATAGTATAGAACACGAAAGGAAAACGTTTATACAGTATTTTTATACTTTTAAACAAGAGAGAAAAGTGTGAAAATGTTCATGCCTGTCTGAGAAAAGGGTATAAAGTGTGTAGTGAGGGGTTTTACAGCCTTAAAACATCTATAATAATTGTAAAAAATAAAGCTGACTACTTCGCGGATTTCGCCTATTGTGGGTTATTTTTAGAACGTAACTCCCGCGATTAACGAGGGCCCGCTGTATTACAATAACTAACTAACCAGTCCTCCTTTTAAGCTAACACAATGTGACCAAGTTAAGCTAATGATCAGGTGAAGAAAACATGTTTTGTAGGCCTATTTTTAAAAAGGTAACACACCGGTAAGATGCTGGACATTATATTTATCAACTGTTATATCACTGTATCAGTTTCCCCAAGGGGTCCGGCCCCCAAGTTTGGGAACCACTGCCATAACCTATATCCGTATTAAAATGTTAGCTACAAAAGCAGAACTGTGTAATGTTAATGTTTGTGTGTATCGGCTCCAGAAACTGAAAAGACAGACGTGGACAGTAGCACCGAGTATAAGGGATGTTGAGCCCAGTGACCTCTCATTTGTCTGCAGCTGTCATTAGAAGGCTGTGACTGGACTGGACAGACAATGTGTTAAAAGGAAGGAATGATCCGGTTACGTTTTACATTTCCAGACCAAGTGCGCACAGTCACTGCCACTGTTGCATTAACTAGGATTTTACACATTATCTGATAAATCAAGTGAAAACGGGACAGGACTTGGTGTCTTTCAGCTTAATGGCCCTCCTCCATCACACTCTGCTGCCTACGGTGCTTCTGGTATTATACCAGCATCTCAACACTGTGCTGTCAAAGTCTGGTCTATACACTAACCTCGACATAGCTTTAAACAATTATTTTAAGAGTGAAATTATCAAAATAGTTGCTGATTAATCTCTGTTTTGCAATCACTGCAGCTCTACTCTGTATTGACAGATGTTTAATATCAGGATAAGGGACAAAAAGCTAGAATGAAATCCTGAGACTCTACCCAAAATTATTCTTAAAAATGTGTTTATGCACAAATTATTCTGCCTGTTAAATGCAACTGATAGCACATACTACTATGTGCAATTTCACTGATTTTTATTTACATTTAGTGAATACTATCTGGAAGTCAGGTCATACATGTAATGGTGTTTTTCTGCAGACACTCAACAGCTGGATGATGGAGCTTGTGTTTAAACAGTGTTTAAACAAGCCCAGCCCCCATCACTTAGGGAGACCCACTTCAAATAAATCTCACTGTAGGATGTTTCAAACTACAAAGATTCACCGCTCCACCTCATCTCAAACTGTCGAATGACACTACATTATGAAGTTTAACACAGACTCGCCGCTGGACCAAGAGAAATAAGGAATGTGTAGCATGTGTATGTTGTTTCTTTGCCAAAGTAAAACCAAGAACATAACTGCATATGAGGGAACACATAAACCCAGTGCAAACTGCTTAATTCCCTGAAAGCCTTCATATCTCCAGCTACATCAAAGAATGTAGACCAAGTCCTTTCTTAGATTGCTATCAGTTGGTGTGTTACCATGAAATGACGGGAGCCTTACAAAGCCACCATAATCCCCCTGTCCTGGACTAATCTGATGCCCTGGACCTCTAAACAAACACTGTTAAATTATTTCCTTCCACACTGTTTCTTTGATATCCACCCTGATGTGGAACAAATTTTAATATGGTGTAAGTCTGGACAAAATTATCACAAAATATAACAAAACCTACTGGTGTTTACACATCCTTGAACAGAGCACAAGTCACAAGTCATCACATACATTAGTCACTGCTACTGTTAGCTGTTTCAGTGCTGATCAAAAACATCACATTGTGTTTATCACATAATTCAAACTGTTGATTAAGGACATGGGAAAGTAACTATATGATTACACAGCAGATTTCTAAGGTTTTCAGGCCAAAGCACAATGACTTCAGTTTTGTCAGAGTTTAGAAGTAAGACGTTACAGGCCATCCAGGCCTTTATGTCTTTAAGACATGCTTGAAGTTTGACCAGCTGACCTGATTCATTTGGCTAATATAACTGAGTATCATCTGCATAGCAATGGAAATTTATGCTGTGCTTCCTAGTAATATTGTCTAAAGGGAGCATGTATAAAGTGAAGAGAATTGGACCTAACAGAGAGCCCTGTGGAATGCCGTGACTAATTTCAGTTTGGAATTGAAATCTTCCTGATAAATAAGATTTGAACCTACTTAGTGCAGTTCCTTTAATCCCAATAACATGTTCAAGTCTCTGCAGTAAGATGCTGTGATCAGTGGTGTCAAAAGCAGCACTGAGATCTAAGAGGACAAGTACAGAGACAAGTCCACTGTCTGAGGCTAGGAGAAGATCGTTGGTGACTTTCACCAATGCGGTTTCTGTACTATGATGGACTCTAAAACCCGACTGAAAATCCTCAAATAAATTATTCTGGAGCTTTTTCAAGGATTTTGGAAATAAATGGGAGATTGGATATTGGTCTATAATTAGCTAGGACACCTGGGTCAAGAGTAGGCTTTTTGAGTAGAGGTTTAATTACTGCAAGTTTAAAAGCCTGTGGAACATAACCTGTTAATAGAGAGAGGTTAATCAGATCTAGTATGGATGTGTTGATTAGGGGCAAGCCGTCTTTGAGCAGCCTGGTCGGGATGGGGTCCAGGAGACATGTTGATGATTTAGATGAAGCAATTGTTGAGGTCAACTCAGAGAGATCTATAGGGGAGAAGTAGTCCAAGTATAAATGAGGTCTTACAGATGTTTCTAAAGCCATTGTAGTAGATGGCACATCTGCGAGAGCTGTGGGAGTGGTTCGACCCATTTTTTCTCTAATAGTTGTGATTTTATTTGTAAAGAAGCTCATGAAGTCATTGCTGCTGAGATCTAAGGGAATGTTAAGCTCAACAGCACTGTGGCTCTTTGTCAGCCTGGCTACACTGGTGAAAAGAAACCTGGGGTTGTTCTTATTTTCCTCAATCAGTGATGAATAAAATGCAGTTCTGGCACTATGAAGGGCTTTCTTATATGTTATTAAACTATCTTTCCAGGCTATGAAAAACTCTTCTGACTTAGTGGAGCGCCACCTCCTTTCCATTTTTTGTGATGCCTGCTTTAGGGAGCGGAGCTGTGAGCTGTACCACGGGGCTAGCCTCCTCTGTTTTAATACCTTCTTTTTCAGAGGGACAACAGCATCAAGTGTATTACGCAGGAAGGCTGCAGTACTATCAACAAGATTATTGACTTGTGTGGGAGTAAAGTTAAGGTGGCCTCCTTCCACTGTGTTGGCAAACGGCACTGAAGTAGATAAAGACGGAATTATTTCCTTAAACTTGGTAACAGCATTGCCAGATGGACATCTGCTGTAGTGGAATTGTTTCCCACATAGAGTATAATCCATTAATGTAAATTCAAAAGTTATTAGAAAATGGTCAGACAGAAGAGGGTTATGGGGAAAAACTATTAAGTGTTCAGTTTCGATGCCATATGTCAGAACAAGATCAAGAGTGTGATTAAAACAGTGAGTGGGTTTATTTAGTTTGAGAGAAGCCAACTGAGTCTAATAATGAACAGAATGCATTGTTGAGGCTGTCATTGTCGGCATCTACATGAATATTAAAGTCGCCTACTATGATTATTTTATCTGTACTAAGCACTAAATCAGACAGAAAGTCTGAGAATTCACTTAAAAACTCTGAATAAGGAGCAGGTGGACGGTATACAATAACAAACAGAACAGGCTTTTGAGTTTTCCAGTTTGGGTGTGAGAGACTCAGGGTGAGACTTTCAAATGAGTTATAACTATGTTTAGGTCTAGGGTTGGTTAATAGGCTTGAGTCAAAGATTGCTGCCACACCACCATCTCGGCCTGTGTTTTGAGGGATGTGACAGTTACTGTGCCTAGGTGGAGTGGATTCATTTAGGCTGACATATTCTTCCTGCTGTAACCATGTTTCAGTAAGACACAATAAGTCAATGTGATGTTCACTTATCAAATCATTCACTAACAGAGATTTAGATGAGAGAGATCTGATATTTAATAGTCCACATTTGATTGTCTTATTACTTTCCACTATAAGAGGAGTCATCTTAATTTTAATTAGATTCTTATAGATAACTCCTCTCGAGTTGATTTTTGATTTATATAATCTGGGTGGTCGGGGGGGCAGACACAGTCTCTATGGGGTACTGGGAGTTTTGGGTGGGTAGCAGCCACAAAGAGACAGCAGAGAGGCGTGTAAGACTGCGACCCTGCATCCTGGACTCAACTCTCGGTTGTCATAATTTAGGTTGTAATATATGCACTTATTTATGTGCATGCTTTACACAAATGGATGTGAAGCTTCTCAGTAGCAAGCAAATACATCTCTATTGTTTATGACCCTGTGATCACTGCGTGTGAAATAGCACAGCAGAATGATTCACACCTTTAAGCTTCTGTTAATGCAATAATGGCTACAGACAGTAATATAATCCCAAAGAGAAGTTAAGGAAAACATATAACTGTGAGTGATGCTGTTGATGATGCTGATTGTCACACAAGCTGAAACCTGCTTCATCTTCAGACACAAGCCCAAAATCTGAGGTGTCTGCATTGAGCATGACTTCTCACCAACACTCACTCCTGTTCCCCAGAGAAAAATAACTACAGGGACCCAGCATACTTAATGCACCTGTGCTAGCATGTGTTTGGCTACATGTGCCAAAGATCACCAAAAGTACACCCCTTTTCACCATATACTACATATTACAACAACTGCCACAAATACTGACCCTCATCCTTGAAATGCAGTTATTAATTAACAAAACCAGGGTAAACTTTCAGCCTATAGTGATTTATCCAAAAATCTGTCATCCAAAGGGTAGATTACACTTCACTGTTGTGGCATAATTGTGTTAACAAGGAATGTTAGTGGGGCTGAGTGAAAAATCTGTAAAAGGAAAATTGACAAAGTTCAACATCACACACAGAGTATGCTGCAAAAAAGAAAATAATGATGGGCTGCAGGTCATGTTGAAGAAAGTTACAAGTTTATTTTAACTATAAACCAGAATTTACATTTGCACATCTGACTGTTATGTATTAGGGATGACAAGCTACATGGTTAGGTCAAAGAGGAGTTTGAAAAGAAAACTGAAAATGGGCTGTCATATAAAAATGAACATGAATCAACATTAATGAATATGATAGCCTATAATCAGAATGTTCATAGAGTCCCTCTGCAAGTGCGATTTTCATGTTTTACTGCATGAACTCAAGAAATTTGACTCCACTTTATATCATATGATTAAGAAGCTTCATAGAAAGGAGACTGCTTTCTTTTAAGGTTGCCTAGAAACTTTAGGCATACTACTAAGTTGCAGACTAGACTGTGTATAATTTACATGGACCTATTTTAACATTCATATTGTGATTTTTAATGTCACCTGGATACCTCCTGATCTGTGCCACACTGAACAGTTATCTTGCCCATATATTTTTTCTCAACCAAACCCATTATAATGAAAACCCCAAGCTACTATCTGAGTTACTACCTCTGTGTAGAATGAACTAGTACTTCTCATCTGCTGACAGTCCTGTTAAAACAATGTTTCTGCTTGTTTTATTTTGTTAGTTCAAGTTAAGATATTTTACCTTGATCCATGATTGTTTTCTGCCAAAGCTTTTATATTGCAGTTTTAGAGTTTGAAGCTATTGTTTGAAACAATTTATTCCATTAACTATCTGCAGCTGTGAATTTTAATATCATCTTTAAGTTCAGTGAGAAAGCCTGGTTTCCTAGAAAAAGAATAATACATTCGGAAAAACAATCAACCTGAGTTAAAGTTACAAATATGATATTGGGTAAAGATGTTGGAGGCTGCTCTGCAGTAAAAGTCCTAAAGAGACAAAGTAAAATGAAAGTGGATATGTTTTTAATAACAATGAAATTTGATAGCATTGGCACACCATGCTGCTAGGGATCCAGCCATCCAGTGAAAGAGCGTGTGTATCATTGCGGTGTGCTACACTGTACAATTCTATAGATATAATGATGTATTAATTCAAGATATGACCATCTGTGATTTTCTGATTCAACCAGGAATGAATTTGACTAAGTTAGAGTTTTATGGGCAGCTAACATGGACAGTATGATCATGGCATTGGACAACTTCTGCTCTAATTGAAAAAACTGCAACCCTTATTTTAACAATACCTGAATGTATGAAAACAAAGCCAGGATCAAGAAGGTTCAAATGTGCCAAGCCAAAACACCTAGTAAATGTGCTTGTACAATATGCTTGATTACTGACTACCAACAAACATTACTCATTTAAAATCTGTACAGACAACACTGAATCTTCCTCCCACCCTCATCCTTATATTATTAAGAGTATTACTACACTTACTTGTCCACAAGTGTCCTGATGACAGCCAGTGTGTCCAGCACCAGGCCATCTACATTCTGCTTCTTCCGCCGTGGCTCATGCGGCCCTCGCCCTCTGCGTGGTGGCCTGACCGGGTCCCTGGGCCGACTGCTCCGAGCGTCTCCAGCATCAACACCTACTCCTGTTCCATGATCCACCCGCCTAGCTTGTCCTCGGGTCACCCTTGATGACCCACGTTGATGGTCCTCTAAGTCACTATCCTCCCGGCACACACAGCTGTTACCCATGGTTCCAGTGCCAGAGACCAAAATGGCAAGGGTCTCCCAGAATGGAGGAAGGGAGTTTGAGGAGGAAAGGAAGAGCAGAACCCGTGCAAGGTTCCTGCAAGCACAGAAAGTAATCCAGGCGGCTACTATCATATCATTTGAAGAGTCTGGTTTTGGTGAATTCTTATCCCAGAGGGCTGGGTGGGGTCAGTGTAAACTATCATACTGTTGCCAAACAGAGATATGGGATTGGTTTGGGAGGAATAATATGCTCAATTAAATAAACCAGGAGGGGTCACGTGATGCAAGGAGAAAAGCTCTCAACATCATAGAAGGTACAAGAGTCAGATCCATCTGTCGTCCTGGGCTTGCATAGCTGTGGAAGCAACATAAACAGAAGAGAAAAGGTGAAAGTATGCCCCCGAGTTAAGTATCTCAGAGCTGTATATTAACTGTTTAACAGTTAATATAACAGATCGTGTTCTGCAAACAGCGACACTTAAAACCAGCTGAAGTGAGGCACCCCATGAGATAAATGTCAATTCTCGGAAAATATATAAAATAACTTAATGAGAATTAGCTATAAAGAATAACGTTAGCCATTAGCTGGTCATCTCTCAGGGAACGTAACGCTAGCTACTACACAATTTCTATACAATATAAGCAGACAGTCTGTGTGTGTCAACAATGATCTCATCATACACTAGACATGTTAATATTGCTGACAAAAAACAGCTTTTTAGTTAACGCTAGCTGGTTAACAAGCTAGACACATAACAAGCAAGCATTGCAACGTGAGCAGTTGCAAACTAAAACCAAGTCTCACAAACTCTCACGTATCTTTTATTCAGTAAACTATAACGTTAATGGTTTCATTTTCACCTGGACATATACTACCGTTTTAGCGATTGTAAAACAACCACAACCAAAGGCAAGCGAGCCGGACCACAGTAGCTAACAAGACAGAGAGCTAACAAGTTAGTTAGCTGACTGCGCTGTGTAGTAGCGTTAGCTAACCAGCTAACGCTAGCTGTTAGCCGATTAGCTGGACCCTCCTCTGATTCTACCGTGAAACTGTAACTCCTTAGCTAACCTGAGTAACAGTGAACTAAGTATACTACTCCAACGCCGATGATGTATAGATACATATTCACATCACTCGTGTATGTTCCGCAACACACATCTGTAAAGCGTAAAACAGCAAATTCATATGACCCTTAGCTAAAACCTCTTACATTATAACGGCGCTACACCACTAGCTGCTTGCTAAGTTCCGTAGCGTTGACAGCTAACGGTAAAAGGCTGGCCATCATCAGCTGTGGATGCGGAGGCGAGGGTTTCTCTTTAATACGAGGTTAATCATTAATAATAGTTAATAGCAGTTAATAGTATTTAGTTTTTAGTATTAATAACAGTATATGGTCTATAGTATTTAATTAATAGTATTAAAATGTATTTGGAAATAATTGTTTATGCTGTGCGTAGGTTTATTGCTTCTCAGCACCTTGTTGTTTTATGACAGAAAAAACACAAGAAGTCTATAGCCCCACAAGAACAAAACTTAAACAAGATGAAAATGCACCATTGTTATAAAGTTTCATAAAGTTTTACATCGGACTATAGTATCAACAGGAGCACTTCAAACAACTGTGCTACTAGGATTGTGTACGCTAAAAAAATAAAATACAAAAATAAACTGAAGGCAACTTGATGCGCAAAAACCAAATTTTCCAACGAGTACATGAATGCAATCCACAGAAGTCACACTATTAAAAAAACTCAACAGGCTATGTCTTCATGACGTATAAGTACATTTGTTAAAAAGTGCACAAGTAGAAGTTTCAATTTGAATTTGAATTTGAATTTTGTATTTTATTTTTATTATTTTATTTATTTCAATTTGAAATTTAAACGTGCTCTATTAAAATTGTGGCATAACTGATTATATGAGCCTCAGTCCTAGACTGATGTGCTATAATAAGGTACAGAATAAATATGATATTCTCTTGCAGCTGGGACTGTGTAATGAATTATTAATAAAACGATTCAGTTTCATATGTGAATTTACACCTTGTAACTGAACAAAAAAGAGAATACATTTATTGCTACACTTTTATTAACACTAAAGTAAAGACATTAAGACAAGGTCTGTCTGATCAGGGAATCCTGATAATACAGCAGAGGAGAACTGGGTAACAGCAGGGTCCAGGTCCATGGTTCAGGCTGCAGTATAATCATAGCAAAAATAGTTTAACAGCTTTGAACAGTTCAATGTCTCACACTTTGGGTATCTGAACTCCCAATCACATGTGATGTTGTATTGTTATTTTTAGAATTGGCTAAATTAAAGCATCCATTGTATGTTGTGTAAAACAAATGTGACAGTCA